AGAAAGTCATTTTTAATCCTGTTTAGCACCTTCAGATGGCTGTCCACCTAATGAATACGTCTACATGAAGGATAATCAAATTGCACCTTGCGATCCATTCAACCCGCCAAATGCTCCCTGCCCCAACGGCTACTCCTGTCAATGGTCACTCTCAAATCAACGTTATCAGTGCTGTGGAGCGACACCTTTAACCACTCCGAAATCCATCGCTGCTCTTGGTTGTCCAAATAACCAAGTCGCTTTTCGGGATGTTGCCACCAATGCTCCACGAATTTGCACCGCAGCTTCTCAGAACTGTCCCATAGGGTACTTCTGTCAATTCTCGACGGCTAACAATCAGTTCCAATGCTGTGGGATGTCCGGCGGTTGCCCCAACGATTCAGTCGCTTTCATTGGCATTACTGGAGAACCTCAGAGTTGCGCTATTGGACAGAGCACGTGTCCAAAGGGATACTCTTGCCAAAGAAGTATTACTGGATCGCAACTTTGTTGCACTACAAATGAGCCCAGTAAGTCTAGCCTTTTTTATCTTTCAAAGTGTTCACCTAGGTGATCCTGTTATTGTCTACCTATTTCAGCTTGTACTGAGAAGCAGATCGCTGTCGATGGTATTTGCTTGAACCGAGTCTCCTTTGGCGAATCCTGCACTAACCAGGTCCAATGCCCAACTAGCACAATCTGTAAAGAAGGCAAATGCGCTTGCGGCGACGGCCAACACTTTGTGAAAGGTATTTGTCAAGCAGGATGTGGCGATAAGGAAGTTGACGTGAAAGGCACCTGCCTACCCAAAGTTGAGATTGGCGAAGTCTGTGAGGCTGACGAGCAATGTCAGGGTGGTTCCAGCTGCGATGGAGGTCACTGCGAATGTCCCGACGGCGAGGAAAAGGTCGATGATGTCTGTGTCATGAAGATGAGCTCTCGTAAGGTCACCACATGCCCCATAGCTGGGCAGACACCTTATATCGACAAATTAACAAATAATGTGCGTTTCTGTCAACCAAGCAAGAGCACCTGCCCCCGAGGGTTCACATGTCAGTTCTCAGAAACGGCTCAGCAGACTATTTGCTGTGGAGGAGGTGATGTCCCGCGATTCTCTAAGATCACTGAACCAACTGGGCCTGACCCTGATATCGACATTGATGAGCCCACTACTCATGCGCCCACCACTACAAGTTCAAAACCAGAAGTCTGCGAGAAAGGCTCAGC